TTCCCAGGAGAGTCGGTTAGCCGCTTCTCGGCCTCTGGTTTGTACTAAAGTATTCCACCAAGTGAGCGCCCTTCCTTGCAATAGACAGGCCGCATACTTTACCTTATTTCCTTCGGTACATTTGCTAATGTGTAGAACGGACTCCATGCTCTCGAGCCATGACAGTAATCCTACCGCTCCTTTGGTTCCATTAAATTCTTTGGGGTTGCAAGCTCTGAAAGTCTTGTAAGTGCATTCTTGCGGAGGCCTAGACTCAGAGTTTGAGAGTTGGTTAGCATTCAGACCAGCAGCCATTTGGCTGACTATATTGGGAAGTGCGGCAATAAGTTGATCTGACACGAGTTGTGCTATATCGGGGTTCTCCCTTCTTGGCGGCATTTCCTTGGATCCTATTTAGAATGGATTTCATAAGTTTGATGGCAAAACAAGTGTTATAGCTTCCCAGATATTTCTATGGTACCCAAAAGTGTTCTTCGCATGGAGGATGATCAGACATTACCAAAACCAAAATAGAGTAAACTCATTCAAACAATAAATTGACATAATAAGCATTCTTCAAAAGGTGTTCATGCATTGATATTTGATAGCAAGTGCAAAACAGGGTCTCTAGCAACGGAACAAAAAGAGTGAGTATCCTATTTTTGATTCTCCTTCTAGAACAGTATCAATCCTATGGCTATTCCCAATGCCAACATCATCATACCACAAACTACCAACCATCTATACAACCTCCTAATTTCCCGCCTGGTGGCTACAGCAGCCTCTCTATTCCTTATTATGCTCTGGTGGTGCGCTTCTATCACATTAGACAGGTTGTTGAGGATGTGATGATGATATCCTAGCCGAGACTGGTGCACTTGCGTGTCAGCTACAATCCTCCTCACCCAATCCCTTTCAGTCGGATTCATCCCTTGAGAGTAAGACGCAGGTACTCCAGTCACGATTTGAGTCATTCTACTCCCTACATGGGGTCGGGATGACTCCCCTACAACCCTATGAGAGTTCTCGAATGTCACCCGCTGCGGTAGTAGGACACTCTTTATGGGCGTGACTCTGATTCTTGGGCCACGATGGGTTCGTGGCGGAACATCAGGTACCGACTCCGTTGGGGGTAGGTAAGATACTTGGGGTGTGGCCGCTGCGTCACTTGATGCTGTGTCTTGCATGTACGGGTCAATTTCTTCGTTGCAGGTTGAGTTCCTTCCAGAGCGACCAATTACATAACCGGATTCATCAGCAGAGTATTCACTCGGATCAGAAGACATCGTAGAGATCTGTGACATGAATAATCTTAGTTACTAAAGTGCATTCTCTAGCAAGAACTTAGTGATACATTAGAAGCTTCTAAACAAAACTAAGTCATGATAATCATGTTGGATCCTCTGGACAACACTTCTGGTTACATTACTAGAGCTTCTGGTTGCGAGACCAGAGCTTCTGGTTGTACTAAAGTCCTTAGAGAAGGACTCCTTATCCATCGGTTTTCTGAAAATCCAATGGAATTCTATCTTTACCAATCACTGGCTTTAACCCTCGTACTTAGGATAATTATTGATCTATCATCCATCGATCCTCTGGTTCCTCCTGAAGCACTTACCAGAGCCTCTGGTAACAAAGCCCGCTTCCTCCTGATAATCAGAATTTCTTACCACTTCTGGATTATTTTGGGCTGTACGCCCCAACAAATTCACCAAACTTTCTTGGAACTTTTTCAACTCTGCTGTCAACATTTCCTGGGTAATAAATCTGGGATCAGGAACATTGTGTCCACCCCTTGTCCTTCCTCTACCATGGCCAGACATTGAACTTTCTTGGGCCGACAATTCATGTTCTTGTCTAGTACCTCTACCTCTTCCTCGACCCCTGCTACGACTTCGCGTATCTATCGTCATCACATTCTCTGGGTCCTCTCCTTGTGTTACGTTTCTTCTTCCCCGACCTCTTCTATAACCAGTAGAGGTCCTTTCTGATTGATTGDGATWAYYTRCCATTTCTYAATGTATAACTCTTTCTGTCAYATTTAAACACACATGATTATTCTCATAATCAAAACATAATAACACAYTTATMCTCAAGTCTATCCATAACTCAGATTATATCAATCATATATAATCTATCTTTCTCMTAATAGGTTCAACTATAACATATTCCCCATGTTCATAGTCCCAGTGAAACCTATTATTATAACTTCCACACCTCTAGTTTAAATCTAAGTATTTCGCAAATACCCAGATCCCTTAAACTAAGGCTCTGATACCAACTGTAACATCCCACAATTTCATCATACAGATAATCCACATGATATTACTCATAACACAAAATGTAACATCGTTTATAAAATACAGATTAACAAAAACTTTCTTTGATACATTTATGAGTAACTAAAAGTCATCAATTCTAAACTTTTCCCTTGCCTCTATCCTGCAAAGTATGACGACCTGCAAAACAGGTTAGTCCAACAACTGAGCGTTAGACCTAAAAGGTCTAGTGAGTGTATATAACTCATACCAACAACATACTTTCTAAACTACCAGTTTAGAATCAACCTGTATATCACAAACATTTTATCTATATCTATCACATATCTTTTCATATCTCTCGCAGTTACACCGCCATTTCATCTTTCTCGCGGTTACACCGTCATTTCATTTCTCTCGCGGTTACACCGCCATTTCATCTCTCTCGCGGTTACACCGCCATTTCATCTCTCTTGAGAAATTTCATATCAAAAGCTTCAACACATAAGTCGGATTTGAAGTTTGGTCAACCTTGTCCGGATATGAAATCCAGACAATTACTTAGAGTAGAAAAAGATAAATCGGACATGGCTTGAGCGGTTTAGCTCTTAATCCGGTTAACACTTGAGCGGTTTAAGAAAATATCCGGACAACACTTGGGTGGTTTAAGAATAAACCAGTCAACACTTGGGCGGTTTAAGAAAATATTCGGACAACACTTGGGCGGTTTAAGAATAAACCGGTCAACACTTGGGCGGTTTAAGAAGATATCCGGACAACTCTTGGGCGGTTTATGGTTAATCCGGCCACCTTTTGACCGGTTTAGGGTTAATCCGGTTACCTCTTGACCGGTTTATGATAGATATCCAACCACCTTTTTGTCCGGTTTAAGGAATACCCGGGCAATATGTATTGTATTTATACAGAATAAGTTTCAACAGCAATAGAATTTATTGTACAACAATTAATACTTCAAAGCTTAATACACTCACCTTAGAACCGAAAATCCAAGTTTCAAATCTTCTTCTTCTTCTGCCAAATCCGGTTGATTACTATAAGGAGACTTTCCTAATATCAAGAGTGTAAAAAAATTTCTTCATTTGAATCCCACTTGCTATATATATAGAATTTTGGGAATCTTGCTATTCTCAGCCGACTTCCTTTCACAAGACTTATAATAAATCTTTAAATACACACACCTCATCCCCTAACATACATAAAAACATTAAATCAAAATTCGAAACCTGAATATTACAAATTGCTTTTGACGATAAACGTTTAGGGTGCGTTTGGTACACTGGATAAGGACATGACAGAACAGGACAGGGATCTCTGTCCCATGTTTGGCATGAATTTTATGTAGAACAGACCGAAACAGAGTGGAACAAAGTGAAACAGGCCTGTTCCACCTCTACACCATGGAACGGGATGGAACAAGGTGGAAGAGACTTGTATTTTACCAATATAAACTCAAAATAAAACTTAATTCTCTTCTAAAACATCAAATAGGTCTCTCTTTTACATTTTATTCATTCTTTAAATTTTATTTATCGTATTTTATGTTTCTTAAACTTTTATTTTATTGTCCTCAAAATATTATTTTTATACGGTTTCCATATTTTTATTAATTTATGTAATTTATTATATATTAATAATAAAAAATAATGTGGAAAAGAGATAAAAAATAAAAATAAAAAACCACATAAACTTTTTATTTGGTGTCATTTTAATTGTTTTGGCGAAAACTTTAAATTATATATTTTGTTATAAAAAATAATTATTCTATTATAAATTACATAAATTGTTTTCTTGATTTTATCACCGTCAAACGTATTGCGTAAGGTTCATGCATGCAATTTGTTGTTTTCGATGAGTTCTATATATTTTTTTCTTGATCAGAGTAGTAAATATTAGATTTTGATCTTACAAAAGTGATTGTACAGGTGGTAAGTAAATTATTTTGTTTCTAGAAACCAAGTTTTGTGAATGTGATGATACTATATGGGATCACTAGCCATATTGTTTTCTTGATGCTTATATTTTATTTACTATTTGATATTTAATCCATTTTAATTGAATGTGCGCTTGTTGGTAGTAGTTTTTCTTCTTAGTATGGAATGGATATATATTTGCTTCGATAACGAATTCTTGTTGCTTATATTATATTTACCTTTTTCATAAATCATTAGTTGATTATGAGATCATATATTTTTGCAAATGTATTTTTGCAAGTAGTAATGGTTTGATGTAAGTTATATTTTTCACACCGTATTTGTTAACATTTATATTGATTATTCAGTGAAAAAAACACTAAATAACTCATTGGGGGTAAATTGGTCATTTTAACCAGTTCTGTCCAGTCCTGTCATGTCTTACCAAACCCTGAACAAGTGTCTTGTCATGTCTTGTTCTATTTTGTCATGTCATATTCTGTCTGCATATCAAACGCACTCTTACCGTAGATGTTTGATAAACCGTAGAAAAACAACTTTTAAAACTGCTTACAACTTTTAATTATTATTTAATAATAAATTCTATAACAATATTTAATAATTTAATAAATTATAAAATTAAACCAACTTATGTTGACTCCATTTTCGATTTAATCCGAAACCGTTTTAAGCCGGCTTCCCATTTTGCGGCTAGCAGTTCAACAACTCGATTTCAGAATAAATAAAAAACTCTTTTTATTATATAAAATAAAATAAATAAAAAAATCGTGAAAATGGACGTTAAAAACAAAGGGAAAGTAGAAGTGCATACAGTTTCACACCCTCCTTCATTCAGGTTCACTCACTTCGATACTGACTATAATCACCACACATCCCTTCCCTCTCTCCCCGAGAACTCACACAGAAGACTGCAATTGCTGCTCGTTTCTTGATCTTTACAAGTTAAGGTAATTCTAAACAACTTTATATGTTCTCCGATGATCCATTATGTAATCATTCCTTTTGTTAGTGTTTTTTCCTTGTAAATCATAACTTGTTGGTTAATTGTTGTAGTTCTTCGGTGTATATATTTTCATCTTAATCTGGAATACAAATACGGATTTCTGATCGCATTTTGATGTTTCTCTTGTTTGCCTAATTATGTGTTCTAAAAACATATTTGTTCTTGCTGGTTATGATGTTCCGGTGTTCTTTCATCGTAGGATTGAAAGAGGATGGTTTAATTGGTGATTCGATTGTAATTAGTTGTTGTTATACTTTGGATATGACTACCGTTGTTCTTCCATCGTAGGATTGGATTTAACGTTCGATGTTGTTTTCTTCGCTGTAATCGTGCTTAAGTTACCAATAATACGTTCAGTATAACTACCATACAAATAGTAGTTGGTTGGTTGTATGATAAGTTGTGGAGGGCGTATGCCTTTATAGCTCAAAATTTGACTTCAGAAGTTAACCTTGATTTGAAATTAATGAGACAATGTAATAAATTCAGATCTTGGATATTGGCCCTCAAAGATTACTATAAGCTATTGTTTGGGAGAATGGAAATGGAGCTCATGATGTTCAATAACTGATTTTGGTTTGATTTCAATTTCTAGACATTGAATTTGGATTCCCCCTAGTTCCAGAAGGAAATTAACAAATTCTCTAAGCATCACAAGTTATACCTCTTATGCAGATTTTTTATACAACTTCTTGTAAACCATACAGCTGACTTACCTTTCCATTTGTGCTTTGATTTATATTTAGTGTTTGGACTTTTAAGGGTAAAATCTTAACACCTGTGCCTGCATTAATGGATATCCATGATTCATAAAACAAGATACATGATATGATGAGAAACCTTTTCTATTTGGTAGTTATTTTAATAATAGTTCGCTTGTCTTTTGTCCTTGCCAGGAATTTTAAGGCAGTGATCTGCAAGAAGCCAGAAGCGTTGTTCCAATAACTTTATTGTTTGGTAATTTTACAAGAAAGTTTTATGGTTGATTAAAACAACTCCGTCAACGTATGTGATGCTGTTTCTTGCAAACAAAGAAACCTAGATGATGGCTACAACAGCGGTAGTTGGATTAAGGGCGGGGGAAAGGCTATTGGGTTCATCCTCATATTACTCTGATGTCAGTGAAAAACTGTCATGCAGTAGTGATCTTGGGTTCATATTTGTCCCAACTAAGAATGTGATTACTGCAAAGAAGTCATCCAACTATGGCCATGGGTTCATATCCAACCGGCTTAATCAAGACAGTCATTACATCAGAGCTCTAAAGGAACATGTGGATACTGCTTCTGACCCTTCCAGTATTGACCAATGGGTTCAAGGATTTGAGCACTTGGAGGAGGAAGGCGATCAAGACTTTTCAGTGGAAGCATTACTCTTATTACAGAAGTCATTTTTGGAAAAGCAGTGGAACCTTTCAACCGAGAGGACATTGACTACAGCTACCCCGACAGAAAAAAACACCAAAAAGATGTATGTCACCGGTTCTGGGAAATCTGCTCGTAGGCGTAGAATAGATGCTCAGAGGAAAACGCCAAACAGAAGTTTTTCTCCTATTCAAGATGGTGGAAAGAAGCAGTTGAGATCCATAATCAGCCCAGAGCTGCTCCAAAATCGCACAAGAGGCTACTTTAAAGGTGTAATAAGTGATACGTTGCTCACTCATGCAGAGGTGGTGGTTTTATCAAAAAAAGTTAAAATTGGTCAACACTTAGAAGAGCGGAAATCGAGGTAACTGAATTTTCTAGAGTTCCTTTTTTGTAACCATGATACCAAAACCCTTTGGACCCGACTAATTAATGGGTCCATGCAAAAGTGACCCCTTCCATATGGCTTGGCAAAGCTCAACCCTTGGCCCGCAGGCATGGCCCTAAGGAGTTGCTTACACCTAATGGTCCTAAGGAATCCCTAGCAATCATATATGTATATGTTTGTGATATATGTTTAATATTAATACTACAACATTTGAACTTTATCCTATAGACCAGATATTCTCACCAGAGACAAGAAATGTAAATGATTTTATGCTTGAAGATGATGTTATAAATATGTTTTCATTCATTGCTTATTCATTACTCACTTGTACTTGTAATTGTCGCCTCTTGCTTTATGTTTAAAATGGATGTTCTCATAACTCAAATACTATATTCAAGTTCCGATATTCAGATTCATCAACTACACCACTTCTATAGTTGTGTTTCTGCAAAGCTGTCATGGTATAGGGGACAAGCATATAAGTCTTCTATATGATCTCATGCACTCAACCTCATAGATGTTTTTCCCTACTTAGATACAAGAGTGTGTCATCTGTTGTTTTTCATATCCTGTAATAGGAGTCTACAACCCTCTCCTATGAAGGAGTTAGATAAGATTATGACATGAAGCTTAACAACTCAAGCACATGATTTTGAAGATCTTTTTTGATTCGGATTTCCAGATTGAAGAAAAGTTTAGGATCTGAACCATCAGAGGAGCAACTTGCAGCATCCCTGAGGATTTCGCGAGCTGAGTTGCAAATCAAACAGATTGAGTGCAACTTGGCAAGAGAGAAGCTGGCCATGAGCAATGTTCGTCTAGTAATGTCAATTGCACAAAGATATGCTAACATGGGAGTTGAAATAGGTGACCTTATTCAGGTAGCTGTTATCATCATCAATGTCAACTTGCGGAAGCAATATATCTTTTAAAAAATTATTGTTTTTTGTCTATAGACCCGGAATTCCTTAATTCATGGCTTCTTATTTTTTTTATGCAGGGAGGTCTAATTGGACTACTCCGTGGGATAGAGAAATATGATTCATCAAGGGGTTTCAAGATTTCTACCTATGTCTATTGGTGGATACGGCAGGTGAGGACCATAATCCATTTTTAACGTAGTTACTTCAATAATGGTGTTACTATAGAATCATGGAAGTCACTTTTCACTGCTAAATATGCTTCTCCCTTGGTATCTTGAGATCCGTATTTCTTTATATAGAATCCCATGAAATTGATTTATCATATGATTCAAACAAAAAGCAGCTGAAAGATGGTAGGAGTAACTCTCAAGTACTAAAGGAACTGATGACCATCTATGGTAACTTAAGAAAACCGTGCTATCTATTACTTGGTGACATAATTAATTGACACAAGATCTACAAGTGAAACGAACACCAACTTTGTTCACATTAGATGTATTAAGTCGTGAGATTGTTGCATCTGATACATGTTCTCTTTGAGGAAAGGCTACTTTGTTAGATCCTGATTTTTTCTTTCTCTAACAGGGTATATGTCATTCCTGCATTAATGTTATATACTGATTTAAGTTGTTGTACGGTAGGAATTCTCTGATACACATGTCATACTGTGAATCAGGAAAAAGAATATTTTAATTTTGAACACTTCTACATAATGGTAAATATAGTTGAAATGAAATCTAAACTGGGTTGAAGAACAAAGATTTTGTAACACCGCAATGCTGGAGGTATACAATGGAAAAACCAAAAATAATGAGCAATTCAGATTTTCCGTTACTTTTGCTCTCGTGACAAGGGAGTACTGACATTTTATGCGATATCAAGGCTATTCCTTTGATTAACAATTTCATTTTCTAAGGTGTTGATCCATATACATTTGTTTAGCATCATATTTGTAAACCCACAAGGATGAATCCACGTAACTTTTTATCTCTTTATCCCAGGGTGTTTCAAAAGCGTTAATTGAAAATTCTAGGACCCTAAGATTGCCTATCCATATGCACGAAAGACTGGGTGCAATACGAAATGCCAAAGCAAAGCTCGAGGAGAAAGGAATAATCCCATCAATAGAAGTAAGTTAAACATTACAATTACCTGAAATTCAATGTTACAATTCTTATAAAGTTATACTACCTTCATTTTCAAACTTGAGCTGATGAGCTAATTTGTTCTGGTGATATAGAAAATTGCGGAAAGCCTAAACATGTCCACAAAGAAAGTCTTGAATGCCACAGAGGTACTTGAACCATCTGACACATTCGTGTTTATGCATCCACATTCCTTCACTTTTCATCATCTTAACATCAAGACCCTTTCATGTAGGCAAAATGCAAAGTGTTCTCACTTGATAGGCCAGCATTCCCTTCTCTAAATGATCGTCCAGGGGATACCTTTCACAGTGTAAGTCTAGTTATAGCTACTTCTTTCCTGAAACAACAAACATGTCTCTAGAGAGAGTATACTCGCATCTTAAAGGTTGTAGAGACTCCACTAGCCCCGTAGGGCCTGTTGGAGTCTTAGGGCCGTTTACCCAACTCTTACCAAGTAAGCGCTTACCTGGTTTCACTTATCTTATCGGTGAGCATGGCAAAGACAGAGAATCTTTTCAGGTAAGAGGCATAGCAAGGACCAAGAATCTTACCCGGTAAGTGATGGAGAAGACTCTTTACCCAGTAAGCGCTTACCGGGTAAAAGATGCTTACTGCAATCCATTTTGATGGTTGAGAATGTTACCTGATAAGGTAAGTGAGGGTGATGACTTTTGCTGATAAGCATTTGGTAAATGGCCCTTAGATTAGCTGGACACCGTTCTTTTGCTCCCGATACATGTTGGAACCTCCACTTTCTCCTCAAGGGATTTTTTGGAGAGTAATGTGAAGAGGTTCCACATATTTCAAACACTATCAGACCCGGGATTTTCCACTTCTAGGATACAAACACTCTGGCTCATCCGACTAGCCTCCATTGGAGGGGGTGTGTTGGAGTCCTACATCGGGTAGACATGGTCCCTTTGATATATGTTGGAACCACCCTTCTCTCCTCATGGGCTTTTTTGGAGGGTAATCTAACGAGGTTCCCGAAATGACCAAACTAAAAGGTCAATTGGTAGTTATAGCCACGTGATGTTGAACCTTCTTTTTGCTGTTGCAGTACATGGCAGATGAGCATCCGGGGAACAACCCTTGGCATGGAGTAGATCATGGGGCGCTCAAGGTACTTCACATGTCTTACAATATTCATCCTATTGATTTCTTTTTCTCTCTTTATTTATATACTCCTAACATACTTGTGCGTACCCAAGTTTTGCTAGAAAACTCTCAAGCCCATTAAGAGAACAGTTTCTTGTCTTGTCTATTTTCTATCTGGTTTTCTTCTTATGATAGTTGTCATCTTCCTTGCAAGTGATTGATGATTCCCACAACTTTTCCATCCTGCTCCTGCTTCCATCTTATCTTTATCTTAATCTTGTTGCCATTGTCAAGTTCTTCAAACTTCCATTTGTTATTCTTGATCTTCATATGAGCTGAAATGACCAAATTACCCTTAAATTTATCATACATTCTCTCAACTTTGCCCTCCTATACGTAAGCTCCTTGTGGCTGCAAGAATACCATATTGGAGAGTGAATATAACTTCCCATTTTCGATCCCATGGTGGAAAGTAGTATGCATCTGCACTTTAAGCAATGAATGAACATTCTTGAATTATGCAGGATGAGGTGAACAAGTTGATGACCACGACTCTAAGGGAACGGGAGAGAGAGATCATCCGTTTGTACTATGGTCTCGACAACGAATTCCTTACTTGGGAAGATATTAGTCGAAGGTACCAACTCTATTTGTTTTAGGACCTTTTATCTATTCGCTTTGCTAATCTACAGATAATACTTTTCCTTTTAACACACAGTACATAAACAAACTATTGTTCTTGCAAAAAAACATTCAAAAGAAAATAGATTTCGCAAGAGCAAATAATTTTGGGTAAAACCGACTAGTACGATGGTTATTTTTGTATTTGTATTTCCACAATTATATATGGGTAAACTACATCTTTTTTTGCAAGCTATAGTGGTTTCTTAGTATTTTCTGCAAAAAATGATGGTTAATTTGCAAGGAAAAACGGAGCACAATTGTTTAAAAAAAGCTTATTTTGCTTGTTGGAGTACCACATCAGCTAGACTTGGATCATTTTTTCTTAACGTATGTTGGAACTTCTATTCTCTCCTCAAGGCTCTTTTGAAGAGCACTCTAATGGGATTCCTCATATTTTTACATAGTATCAGAGTCATGATCTACCACTATAGGAACTTGACACTTTGGGATAATTTGTACCTGTCTGACCCCCTCTCGGACAATTTGTGCCCGTCTAGCCTCTATTGGAGCCTTGGAGGGGGTAAAAATTTGCTGCTTCTTTTGGTAATGACTTGATCTATAGATAGAAAGCCATAATATTAGAGTCCACATCAGTTAGACTTGTACCATTTCTTCTTTGATAGAAACCTATTATTTCTCTTCAAGGAATATTTTGGAGAATAATCTAATGGGATTCTACCACTCTACGAACTTGACACTCTAGACAATATGTTCTCATGTCCTCCCCCCCCCCCCCTCCTCCTGCTGTCTAGCCTCGGTTGAAGTCATACATTGGCTAGACTTTGACCATTTCTTCTTGATATACGTTGGGGTGTCTCTTCTCTCCTCTCCTCAATGACTAGTAATATTCTACATATTCTCAAGGTGGCCCCTCTTTTGTTTTTGTGTCTTGTTAAAAAATCAAACAACCAAGGCAAGGAACAATATATACATAAGATATGTCGTTTAACATGATATGGTGGTGTTGCAGGATGGGGTTGTCAAGAGAACGAGTTAGGCAGGTCGGACTTGTTGCACTCGAGAAACTAAAACATGCTGCACGGAAGACAAATCTTGAGGCTATGCTGGTAGAACATTGATCTCTGGTTTGGCTTATATATGGGAACTAGGCAAATATATAGCCTGTATATATGATATACAAATCCACCCATTACCCATAGATACATATGTATACTTGTATGTATTTGTAATTTGTAAAGCTTACTGTTTTACGATAACACTTGTACATCGTGCAAAAAACCTTAAATAATACCACCTGGAAAATAATTAAACTCTTTTTAGTGTAAACTATGTTTTATTAAAAAAAAAGAAACTCTGCATGTTTCTTGCACTCATTTAGTAAGATTTTCTGCTTTATTTTTTTTATAATGTGAAATCTATGTTTTTATTAAAAAAAAAATAGATTTTATAGTGGTGTTTTATTATTTAACTGAACAATTCCCTTTTTATGTTAAAAGTTTGTTTGATAGTAATTGAATAATTTGATGGAGAATGATATATTGATAAAAGTGAATGAAAGAACTTATATGATACGATAAAAAAATATAAAAAAAATTATATTTTGTGAATATTTTTGTCTGAATGAAAAATCTGAATTATAGTTACAAAGAATCCCCAAAATAAAAAATTTACATAATTTTAACATTGATGACCAATAATAATCTACCATTAACAATTGGTTTTCCCATTATCAATAAGTAAATTGAACTAAAACATTAATAATCGTATTTCTCGCATTTGATATAAATACAAGATATAAAACCATAATACTAAATAATCAAAACCAACATATTTAATGTCCATACAAATTTACCAAAATTACAGCCGATGAATTCTGTTTCACAACCCTCCAATACATACCAACCCTTTTTCTTGACCCCAATTCCTTTTTTTTCCAATTCCATTTCACGAAATATTCACAAAATTAAATTCAATAATGTTTAGATCGATAAGCACGAATAGAGTCACGGAAGATGATTACCAGAGCATCTACAACCAATCGCCAAAGTCGAAAGGGGTGGCACCGGTGTTGAGAGCCTTGTCTTTGGAAGCCAATGAGAATTCGGAATACGAATCCTCCAATTTATCTGAGGTCACGCCAAAGAAACTGAAAGCACAAACTCAATTCTCACAGAAAGCTGTTCATATCATCCCTCTCATTCTTCTATTTTGTGCCTTTTTCCTTTGGATCTTCTCAAATCCAGGTCGGTCACCCGAAATTGCATCCATCTAAATCATCTATTTGCCAATTCATACTTTCATCAAATCGTATTTGATAAGAATCATGAATATTTTATGATGCAGATATTGATTTGCCAATAAAAAACGATATATCAAAGTTGCAAGTAAAAGGAAAGACTATGGAAAGGGATGATCGGACAAATTCACGAGGTACAGACGTGGTCGATATGGGATTACACAAACACGACAGTCACAAGCTCGCTTCGACATTGGCAAATCTTTGATTTTAAAGATAATTGATGATCAATCGTGCTTGCTTTCAAGAACTACTGCGGTTTTAAGAAATAATATCCAATAATCAAATGTTAATTTTCTAAAGTCGGAGGTAATTAGATAATATTATACTCATATTAGAAAATCAATTTTTTGTTTATTTAATCTGATTATTTAACACTAAATCAAATTTAATTTTGCGGAGAGCTCTTTAAATAGTTTCTCCAAATCTAATTAGTTTTTAGACATTCAAAAGTTGTATTATTTTATGTAAAGTGTGAATATATTTGTTTATTAATCTTATAACAATGTTATATATTACTTGTTGTATTTTCTTTTTATGTCTATGCGTGTAGAGAAATACCGTGTGAGCTAGGTTAGGTGTATAATTATTTGTTTATTTCTAACAAAAATTTGTTAAAAGTGTCGTATTTACAAAGTAATAGAATAAGAATGTTATAAAAACTAAACGTTTATGTATGGATTATTAATTTGTACATGATGTTTTAACATTTGTATTCTTGAAAAATTAAGGGGTTGTTTAGTTCGTGGAATTCAAATGAATTTGATGGAATTAGAACGACAAATTCCTTTAACCAAATTTCTTAATAATGTTTGATTCGTGAAATAAATCAATTAGATTCCACGGTTGAGGGATCTGATAATTCCTTAGCATATGTGAAGGATTTGAATTCCATTTCATGGCAAATGTAACATAATTTGTAATTTTGTTTTAGAATGACAAAAATAACCTTTACATCCAATTTAACCACCATCCCTCCCAGCCCAGCCTAGCCCAGCCCCACACGTTGGCCGCCACCACCACCACCACCACAATTGCCACCATCATTCCACCACAACCACAACCACAACCACCCACCATTATCACCACCACAACACTATTTTTTACCATAAACAGAAACAAGATAAACATAGATCGAAGATGAACATAGTGCACAAACAAATTTGATTTCATAATCAACAAATTGTACAATATGAATTTGTTTCCAACACCCTATAATAGAAAACCTTCATTCTAATTAAAAGAAACTCGAAACAGAACACTAAAATCAAAACCATAATCATATCTCACCTTAAAATCGCAGATCTTGAAGATGGAAGCCTTTGTTGTTCAAAATTAAAAAACCCAGGGATGAGACGACATTAGGTCTTAATCGACGGTGATAGGGATGTATTTAGAGAGACGAGAAAGTGACGAGGTCCTTTGGTGCTTCGATAGTCACTAGGATCACTGGAGCGTGGTCCTTGTGGTTCTTGGATCCGATGATGAAGTAGTCCCTGTGGTGTGTCACTGTATCAAGAAGGGGGTGGGGAAGGTGGCCGAAGTTGCAGATGGGAAGGTAGTTGGAGTTGTGGGGGAAAGGGGAATTGCAGGCAAGAGGTTTTCAATTTGACAGTTAGGTTTTCAAGTGGGCATGGAAATGGCTCCAATCCGACGGGAACCCGGTCCACCCGTCCCAGGGACGGGGATTTCCTGCTAAATCAGGGATGAGGACATGGATCTCTATTTGTCTCAAACAGAAGATGGAGACAGGGACATGTATCATACACTCGTTCCTACCTCATACCAATTATATATATTAATTAATAATTTATATTTATATTTATACTTATATATATATATATATATATATATTATTTATTTCAATTAAAACGTTAATTCATAATTTTCTACTTCCTAATTTGGTTTATAATCTAATTTTTGATGCAACTTGATATGATTTTATATTAGTCAATATCTTTTGGTACATGTGACTTTAAGTTTTTTGGGTTAAATTGAATTGTTTTTGGTTTTAGGTTATTAATTCTTATATGATGCTATGGTTTTCATGTATTAAATTAAATTCATTTTGGTTTTAAGTTTATTGAAAATATTTGAGATTTAAACATGTATGATTTCTCACATATTTTAATTTAAAATAACTTACATCAACGGAAAAAAAACATCTCCATTGGGGATCTCCGTTCCCATTGAAGATGAGGATGAAGATATGATTATATTCCCTGATAGCAATGAAAATAAAAACGAGGATAGGAGCAAGTAATCGGAGATGGGGACGAAGATCGATTTCTCCACCCATCCTCGCCCCATGGGACCCCATGGTTATTTTCAAGAGGTCAGATGGCTTGTGTTTATTCTTATAGAGTAAATTACAGTTTAAATCTCTCGGGTTTTATTATCTATACTACATTTTAATCAAATTTGGTAAATATCTTAAAGTCTTAAAAAAGTATAAAATCTAAAACACAAATTTTTAAAAGAGCACAATTACTTTTAATTCCCTGCATGATTGATCTCCCCATGATGACTTTCCCTCCTCAAACTGAGCTCCCCAAAAACAGATTCAAGCTTCCAAGATGATGATTCAAGCTTCCAAGATGACGATTCATCGCTCCTCTGCTCGAATCATCAATATATCAATCCGGTGTTTCATCGTCATCTTCTTCAACCTTCAATCCAATGCTTTCATCGTTATCTTCTTCAACCTTCAGTCCAGTGCTTCCATCATTCAATCCATCTTTCTTCAACCTTCGATCCATCTTCTAGGTATACTTCAATCCATATCGAAACCTGAGCCACTCATTTGTCAAGTTTAGGGTTCTGTTTACACAAAAGAATAACACGTATAATCCATCTCGAAACCTAACCCACTCACTGTGTTCTCGAATCATTTTGTAGGTCTGATTACCGGATCCATCGCTTCAATCCATCTTTCTTCAACCCATCTTCCATGTAATTACTTTTTGGCATTTCATTGCATTATCATTATATTTTCTTATGGGATCATTCAGGCAAAAGTTAATTTCCAGTTACTGCCCCACTCGAATATGTGATTATAGTTCTGTTTACACAAAAGAATATTGTTGAAAAATAATTCCTATAAGAAAAATGAACACCAAATAAAGATTTAATCTTTATATAATTTAATTATATTATAACAATAAAAAGGTTAAACCTTTTTGAATTCAGACCCACCAAAACCTCAATACGTGCCAATTCACACAGATTGAATCTATCCTTCGCGATAGATTCAATAAAAGAAAGACGTAGAAGCAGAGTGTTCACTTAGGGTGTGTTTGGTACGTGGAACAGGGTGGGACAGGACAGAACAGGACACACTTGTCCCATGTTTGGTGTGTTTCAAAGTGGAACTAAATGGAACTAACTAGAATAAGAATGGGACACGCGWGTWCTGCCTAACACCMTGGAACTAAGTGGAACTCAAAATTATTTCCCTCATTACCCTTTTCCCCTTACCCGGCTGCTTCACAAAACCTAACACAGCCTTCATCGCTCCTGCCTCCATCGCTTCCTTCATCGACGGCGACCACGACCATCGACGGCGACCGGCGTCTGCGAGCTTCGATCGGCGTTCGTCTCTTCAAATCTGTTTCAATCGACGGTACGATTCTCTCCTCTCCATATCCAATCGAGGTTTTTCTCCTCTCCATATCCAATCTGTTCAATATTTTAGCACTTTGCGTAATCTTTTTTGTTATAAGCTTACGATGGTCGAAAATATAAGAAACCGTATGGGTGTTTGCAGAAAAAATGATCAAGCAACCCATACCTAGGGTGGTTTCTTTGATTTACTTTTGGTATTTTGGTAGGTTCAAGTTGATGCATTTCTGTTGATGCATTTCTGTTTGCATTTCTGTGACATATGTGGTCAAGTTGATGCATTTCTGTTGATATATGTGGTCTGGTTTTGGGGATTTATAATCATCATAAGACCCTGTAAGCTGCATTATCATGTCAAGAACATAATATACATCCAACCAAGGATTAGTAG